GGGGGGGGGGGGGGGGGTTGTTGGCCTAGTGGTTAGAACAGTCTGAGAAGGTTGCAAGATCCCTGTTCTATTCCCACAGTCTCCACTCTGGGTCCCTGGGCAAGACCCTTAAACCCACACTGCTTCTGAAGGGGATGGGTTAAATGCAGAGGTAAATTTCTCCATAGTGAGATCAACACATTTCTATTATTATTATTATCCTGGAGAAATATCATCTGGCCCACTACTATCAACACGTTTAGTTCTAGAGGAGTTGATCCTGTTTTTTAGTCTCTAGTCCCATTTCTCTCCACATAGCCAGAGGTTCTCCCCTTCATTCTTTTCAGAGTTGATCTGCTTAACAGTTTTCTTACCTTCTCTAACATAGAAAATATTTATTGATAGGAACCCCGGGTAAACTTAGTGTGCTTTCCCATTTCTCTGAACGCCACACGATTATCAGCTTGAGAGAAACGGCACCTTCAGTCCAGCATATAAGAAGTTTCCCCTCTAACTCCAACTTTAGGTTAATCCCTAAGCTTAAAACATTTGACATTCAATCTGTTAACTACCCTGCATCTGATCACGGTTTTTAACTATATCATTAATTTAAAATAAACACTAAAAACTAATTTACACAGTTATTTACTTTTTTATAATAACCAGGTAAACCTTGGGTTTCTACCGCATAAAAACAAACATTTTAAGTCGAATGTATTTATTAAAGTCCATATCCACACAAGCATATATTCATAGTAAGACAGATTGGATGATAGGAGGCTCCCCACAAACCAAAAAACAGCATCCAAGAAGTAAAAAGGTGTATTTATTCATGTATATAAATAGTTAATCTCTACTTATTTAGGTTTATATGAAAAGTAACCTAAGCAGAAAGTATATTTCTTATTTCTACAAGTAAAAGTCAAAGAAGCAATAAAGTAAAGACGACGATCCAGCAAAGACAAACTGCAGAGGAGGGTTTTATATATATATATATATATATATATATATATATATATATATATATATATATATACCCACACGACAAATAGTGGTGTAATGATATAAGTGGGAGCAGGTGTGCAGAATAAGAACTAGAAGAGGGCTGTGTGAACATCTACCCTCACCCCTAAATCCCTCCATCTCTTTTTTTCTTTTTAACAGTAGGCTGACAGTAGGTATGAGAGACACTACCCGATCCGTCCTGGAAGCAGGATCCACTGCTTGGTAGTTCTGCTGCCTTGCAGCAAAAAGGTTCTGGGTTCGATTCCCAGCCTGGGGTCTTTCTAGTAAAGCTCTCTAGCTTAATGCTACAAGCTTGATCCAATGCTTTACCATTGGAGCTATGCATTCCCTTGTGGGGTGTTTACTATATAAAGCCCTGCTTATTATTTCTTACAATTGCATCTGGGTGATTTTTATGCATCTGAAATGGAAAACCTTTGAAGTTCTGAGTTGGCTGAATACTTTTAAACGAGCAGTCAGCTGAAGCAACTGTAAAAGAAACTGACCTGGATTGATAAGGGCCAACTCTGACTGCTCCAAGTGCTAAATATGTCAGCACCCTATCTGGCTGTGATAAGTAATGAGACGTTAGCGGATTATCTGAAATAACAATCTGACAATCTGTGGGGATCAAGGTTAACCTGAGGGCATTAAATAAATGTTTGTTTTTGGGAAGAAGTTCGTCCCCCAACTGGTCCCTCCATCCTGGACACGTCTGACCAGGGGACGGTCTCCTGTCATTGGAACAGAAGAGTTTTTGATTTGCTATTTGTACCGTAAATCCTCTAATATAGGCCGGGGCCTTTATTTCACTCAGGTACATCTTGGTCCAGGCCATTATTGGAAGGAGGCCAGAATTAGAGGCAGGCCTCTATTTTTATTTGATCAAAACAGACTACCAGTGGAATGAATAAAAAACACATTTAGACTTTGAACCAATAAAATACTAGGTTAATTTTATTTGAGGCAGGCTAAGTGGAAGTAGGCCACCAGTATCATATATTTCAAGGGAAATTCAGAACAACGAAGGCCAAAGAAATTCTGTCATTTTAACGCCGCCTGGTTACAAACAGACCTACCGGTATTCACATGTGTCTTTCAGATCAGAACGATTGTGTGACTGGTTATACTCCTGCAGCAGTGCTTCGCAGTGAGCTTGACCAAACATTTTTGATTTATGCTCAACATTGAAGCGTGGTCTGTGCTACACACTGTGGGTCTAGATACGGCCGAGGCGGTGAGGAAGGGGGGGTGAGTTTAGTCCGACAACGGAGGGACATGAGGGCCAAAAAGAGCAGAGATCCAGATGGAAAAAGGGTCCCAGCGTTCTCGCGCACCTCACTCTTCTAGAGGATCAAATTTCACGAGTTTTTTTCCACAATTTCAGTCATAAAAACAAAACTATTTAACTTTAGGCAATACTAGGCAGTTCCTCAGGGCCCCATAAAACTTTGTTTACATGTATAGTGAATAGAACTATTCCTTATTTGTGCACATTAATTATGTTTTTGATAAAAAGCCTTTTCCTAAAATGCCATCAGAACGCTGATAATATTAAGTGTGTCTCAGCCCCCCCCCTTCAGTGTCCACCATATTGGATTAGTCCATTTGCTGCACATGTTCAGAAAGGTCCAAACAGACAGCAGCAAACCATTTGAAAACAAACCATGCAAAGAGCAGTGTTGCTAACTTAGCGCTTTAGTCGCTATATTTAGCCACTTTTCAGACCCCTCTAGCACTTTGATTTCTAAAAAGCTCCTAGCGCCAAATCTAGAGACTTTTTTCTGCTACTGGAGACTTTGGAGACAACATCTAAAAGCAGCGAACTCTGCTCTCCAGAGCGAGTAGATTGGTAACCCCGCCTCCTGCTCTCCTCTATCTTGTCTGCTGTCATGATTCATGCAGCTATTATTTCATCCAAATGAAAAATGGAGAACAGAGAAGCAGATCATGGCTTGTCTACAGTGAAAAGAAGGACTGGGTTATTTACTTTGGCCTTTTTGGAAACACAGGAAGGAGCAATCAGCTAAGTGAGCTTAGTGCTTGGAAAAAATCTTTCATTCCTTTAGAGACAGCATGAAAAGTCAGCTGAGTACAAAACATAGAGAGGAAAACAAGAAGAAAAGGGACAAGAAGAGAGGGACACAACCTAGAACAGATAATGGATGTCTATTCTATTAACATTTCTCTATCTGTAGAATGGGTCTGTTTTATGTTTTCTCCATTCAGAGGGCCCCCTGCCTGTCTTTGCCTAGGGCCCCACATTTCCTAAATCCACCCCTACATAGACATTTACCTGTGCTTTATCCCATCAGGTGTGGCAGTAACTACTGATATAAAAAATGCGTAAAAGTAGTTGATCATACTGTAAGCTTGTAACTAAATACATTTCAAGATGCCTTTAAGCAAGAAAGATCACCTCAGTGCTTCATCTGTAAAATCAATTGTCAAGAATTAGCCTAATTTGAAGTCTGTGTTGAAGTGGCAGAGCTCTGGCGTTGGCTGCTTATTTAGCAGGACAAAAACTAGAACAAACAAATTTCAGCTGTGTAGTCAGTTGATCAAGATTCTGATTGTACTTTTGAATACGTTGATAAGAGTGGCGGCGTCCCTTTGAAAGACCAACCTGAAAGCTAGGCTAGCTAAGCTAACCAGGCGGCAGTAGCAGTGGGAAACCCAAGAGAGGGAAGTATAGTTCTAAATAAAATGGCGGTTGTTCAATAGACATAAAAAAATAAATAAAATTTAGATTATTACATTTTTATATTTTCAAATATATAATATATTTTTAGATGTGAAATATAAATATTTAATGATGAGCTGTTTCATTTGTCATCATGGTCCATGAGCAGCAGCTCCTCTGCAATGCTAAGATAGGAGCATCCTGGGTTTATAGAATTATTTAGCTACAAGGCTAGGCTAATTCCAGGCAGTTGACTGCATACTTTCTCCTTGGAATGGCTTTTCATGTAAAACAAATTTTTTAAAGTTAAACTATTTATATACATATTTCATGAAACTGTAGTGATAGGACTGCAAGAGAGATCACGAGTTGTATGCTGTCTGTTGGCTTGTAGGGATCCTTATATTGTAGAATCTGCTGTCTAGAGCTTCTACTTCATATAATAAATAACATTTTGACTAAAAGATATTTGATATTTACCTGGTTGATGCAAAAATAACTTGACAAATTAGTTTTTAGTGGTTATGACTCATAGATTTAAAAGGCATACAGGTTGAAATAAAATAATATCCAGTAAACTTTTATGATAAAGGATCTACTTATAGCTTGTTGGCACTGAAGGTTGAAGGAGAACCAGATCCCGAGGTTAAGAATCCAGTGGTTTTCCGTGGAAATTTGTCCACCAGTGTCCTTGTGCATCATACCTACCAGCCGGCGTAAGCGTACATCCCAGAGTAGAAAGCCAGGGGCATTCCAGAAAGCTGGACGTTGCTCAACTCAAAGGCATTCTCAAAGTTTTTGGTATTTCCTGGACACACAAACAGACAAACATATGTTCATTTAGAGGCTTCACTGCCATGAAAATACACATGCATGATACACTGCTGACCAAACATTCAAGGCCAGTTGAAAACGTCAAGAATCAATGTTTTGTACTCTTGGATCTTAAGAAGGTTCAAAGCTTCTAAAAGCAAAAGAAGAGGAAATGGGAGTAAGACAAAGAAAGCTGAACAAGCATGTTTTTGTTAGCAAATAACAATAAAACCCAAAACTTAAAATCAAACCACATTTTAAAAATAGTGCTCAGTAATGATTAGATGCAACAGTCTGGATGTTGAGGATGGCTTGATGGATGGCACTCTCTGGACCGGTGTCTGTTTGAAACTTTCTTTGCCATCCAACCCCAAGAGGTTCTCCATTGAATTCATGTCAGTGGAACATTCAGCGTTGTCCAAATGAGGGATGAAAAGTCCTTTTTCAGGCAAACTTTTTCAACTGTAGTCTTGTCCTGTTAAAGAATCCAGTTTTTATCACACAGATGACCCTCATGGCCTTCAGTCATGAGCGATGCCCAGTATTCTCCAAATACTGCAGCCAGCTGCTGTTACACGCCTCAGGAGGCAAAGGCTAAAGGTCAGAGCCACAACATTTTCATAAATAATTCATTTAATATGTATTACATCCACAGAATATTTAAGGTAGTGCAGAATAAAAGTAATAACTGTTCTTAGGTTCTTTAGGAAGTTTAAAAAGGAGTGTCTATGCTACGTTCAGACCGTAAGCAGCAGAAGCAGCAAAAACGCGCCTGCTGCTTCATTTAAAAATTTAGTTCTGATGCGTGGCTGAAGCATCATTTCTGCTCCAGCTGCGCGGTGGTAAATGTGCGTTGGGCGGAGCTACTCTATCCTGGAACAATGGCAGCTATATTAGCTATGATCAGAGGGTAAAAAGTAGTTTGAATCTATGTTGAAGTAAGAAGGTCCACCTGAAAACATGGTCTGTGCAGTCAGTCCATCCAGATTACCATCCTGCCCTCAAAGATTATTTCTCTGTGGGAGCCGCTCAGACCCCCACAGACCCCGCCAGTGACCGGTGGTGCGTTGTCACTGGGAATCCCCAGCAGCAGCTGCCTCAGACCAATAGGCTATATCTGCCACTGTTCTCAGCGGCTGGAAGGCATTTTTCACGTACGTAATCCAAACTGCAGGCACCTGGATAATAAAAGCCGGCAGGTTTCTACATTTTAACTTAATTTAAGTGTTAATAAACTGTTTCAGAGGAGTGATCATAGCGCTCTGCATCAGCAGTACTGCGTCTGACTCCCTGCCAGCTCCCAGATCAGCTTCTCTGATTGGTCGATGTGATGCGTCAAGCAGCTAAAGTTAATTTTTCCAACTCCAGCAGCTGCTGCTAATGAAGCGCCCCAGATGCTCAGAAGCTCGTGAGGCGCTGCTCCTGCTGCTCAAAATGTGCGTTAACCTTTGACTAGTATGTCTGATTCTGACTTTGCATGTAAACTAGCTGCTCCTGCTGCCTCTGCTGCCTGCGGTCTGATCTTGAATCTCCATTGTTGTGTAAATTTTAGTTTCCTGGTCTTAAACTTTTGATCAGCTGATGAACAGCCTATTTCAGTGGTTTATTCCATTAAATTCCTTTTTCAGCTTTGTTTTGTCTCACTCCCAGTTCTTCTCTCTGTCTTTAACAAACAGACCCAACAGACCAAACATAAGATACTACTGGATGTTTAATTGGCCTTAATGTTTGGATCAGACGGTTTACGCTGCTCCAAGCAGAGGCCTTCAGAGGGGCATTATCATCTAGATTTCCAATCAGTTCACCCAGTTCATGCTTAGAATGAACCTATATCAATAATGAATACATAATAGAAATAAACTGTTATTGGTGAATCAATTAACCCTGAGCAATGTTTTCTATTTTTTGTGTTTTTTTATATTTGATATAAACTCTGAGGTCAGGTTTCAGAGCAGCTGTATTTAGTACATGTTGCTGATTGACATTAGATCAAACACAACATATGTTATGTTTATGACCCGGGAATTAAAAACATGAGGAAATATTGAGCCGACATGGTTTAATTAAGCTGTGTTCACTTCAGGCTGAAATCTGATTAACAGCAGCAACTTTAACAGACACACTGTGGTGTTTAATAGCTTATATTAATTAATTTCTGCTGATTAATAACTTGTTCACAGATGGATAGCATGCTGTGACAAATGACTAAAACTCAGGGGGGGCTGCTACTCTAATTAATTAGAAGGCGAGGGAGTTTTAGTTAACGAGGAGCAAATAGGATGGTTTTGTTCATACAATCAGATCATCCAGGCAGATTCTTTCTAAGGAAAATCATCTCATTGCATCCAGTCTCTGACTTTGCAGGATTCTCTCAGCATGTGGAGGGAATCCTCTAAAAAGCGTGCATTAGGAGGAACACGAAGGGTCCGGCATCATGGGGAGGAGGTGGAAGCAGTCGACTCCTCCTGGTTCCAGGGTCTAAATATCAGTTGGGCTTTTTCAACCTCACAGAAGAAGCAGCTTAAAACGGTGCTTTCATAAAACTGGCTCGGTTTTAGACACAAGGAGCCGACTGGAAGCCAACATCGCCACGTCGCTGTGTCAGAACAAAAGCTGGATTGCATAAAGCAGAGCCGTGTTACCAGCTTGCATAAGAGTGAAATACACAGCTGAGGCTGGATCAATGCGTGCGGTTCGAAGGTGAATACTAACAACGCTCTGATATTTTTTATTGCTTGGACGGGATTTAGTTTTATTACAATGCCTAAGGCCAGAAAAACGAAACAAAAACAGCTCAGAAAAGGCACTGGGGCTTGATTTAGCTTAAAAAGCAGCAGTTTTACAATTTTCCATGTATTTATATAGTTATTTATGGTTTATAGATGTTACATTTTGTTATATACACTGATTCTGAAAAAAGTGGAAAATACTTGCTTGATAAATGTTTTGTGGCCATCAAAATGCTTCAGTGTTATTCTATGGGTCAAATAGAAAGCTAAGCATAGAAAAGCATCTTACTTTGGCACATTTGGAAAGGTTTGGAGAGGCTGGTGACACCAAAAGTTCAAAGCCCCACAGCTCTGGAACTGTTGTAACTAGAAGTCTAAAATCTCCTGCATCAGTGGTTGACATGATGTAGAACAAATATAATACAATGAGACCTGCCTATTCCTAAGCATGTCTTTATTACTGCTGTGAAAAAAACTACTTTGACTTATTTTATTCTAGACTTATTTTTGAGAAGAAAAAAGACAACTTTAAGTCATGTTTGGACTGGTGCAGCTTAGGCTGTGTTTTACTAACTATTTTCATTTATATATTCAGAAACTAGAAGGTGTAAGCATTCCAATGATGTATCACACATGTAATTTTGTCTTACAGTTCCTGAGTTATTTGCTTTTCCATTTAGGTATGAGCTGGAAGTCCAAAGCAACCAAGATGGACGATGTTCTTGCACCACAGATGTTCCTCCTAATGCTACACTCAGTACTCCAGTTGAGGGAGGGTGGTATCCCCCTTCTTAAAACAATCTTAAAAATCATCCCCCTTCTTAAATGACCATCCCTGTAACATTTTATCACTGAATGTGTAAATTTGACAACGCAATTTAAGGGAAGGTGAAAATCAGGAGGGAAGGGAATCTTCCGCAGGTTCCAGGTTCTAGGTTTAACAAATAAAGTGTCAGAAATGATCTAGAATGGTGCTGATAGCAAAACAGGGAATGCCCTCCACTGAGCAGAGAATTTATTCATTGCACACTGACTGTAGCACATCGACTGAAACGTGTCTCCATACAAGTAAAATCCTATTGATGCGAATTTATCTGTCCACCAAAGCTGTCAATTTTAAGGCATCCACATATAAGAAAATAAGAAATATGAAAACATTAAGAATATGTTTGAAATGTCCCTTTTCATTCATATTTCAATCTGTTTTCTAATCAGTGGGCGTGAGTTTGGAGCGATGCGCTCAGGGGAGGTCATTCTGGGCACAACAGATGAAACCCAGAGGAGAGAATCGAAGAAGGGGCAGATTTAGGAAATGTGGGGCACATTTTGGAAAGTAAAAATGTGATCTCAAATGTAGGGGCAGTGATAGCCATGCTAACTGTGTAGGGGCAGTGCTAGCCATGCTAATTATGTAGGGCAGTGCTAGTCATGCTAACTGTGTAGGGGCAGCGATAGCCATGCTAACTGTGTAGGGGCAGCGATAGCCATG